AAAAAAAAAAAAAAACACAATCTCACCTTAAAATTTTACCCCCAAAGAAAAAAAAAACACAACCTCACCTTAAAATTTTACCCCCTAAGGAAAAAAAACACAGCAACTGACGTACACTTTTTTTTCATCAATCGTGAAAAACAAGTCTTTCTTTTTTTTTGATCCAATCAATCGACAGAGAAACACGTTCGTCATCGCCAATCAATCAACACAGTTAATCAATCAACACAGCTCATCCATCAACACCTCAATTAATTATTAATTACACCTACCTACTCATCCCTCCGCAAATCAATTCCACACTACCGGGGGATGATCCCCGTCGCACGCACAATTCACCCAAAACCAGGTTATACCATCATTGCAATCAATTAAAAACCAAAAAAAAAAAAAAAAAATCAATCAACCAATCAACAAAGAAACAGCTCCTTCACAATCCCCATCACTCTCAATCAATCTCAATCAACACACGTTCACCAATCAATCAATCACCCAACCCACTCATTACACATCATACCCATCACTACGCCAATCCAATCCTCTCCCCGTCAGCTAATTACTCCCCCCCCTCCCCCGTCCCCCCCTCCCCAATAACCACCACCCCCCCACAAGCAGATTCAATTCCCCCCGTCAGCTGATTACCCCCCTCCCCCCCCCAAGCAGGGTTCAAATTCAACCCCCACCCACCTGATTGTAGTTGACGACATCATCATTTCCCGAAAAGGCATCTATGGCCGCTATAGTCCCGACAGGCGAATTACGGAAGTACACGATGGATTTGCGCAGCAATTCCCAAGCTTCAGCTACGATGGGCTGATCGGCAAAATCGGGATAAGCGCGGGGGGTAGAAACGAGAGACCTTCTAGAAGGGGACCCCGTCAGCACTCTCTGTTGATTAGCATCCTGATGACCCGAAGAACCTCCTCCTCCTCCTCCTCCTCCGCCTCTGAGGTTGTTCAATTCCGGCAGCTCAGACAACCATGCAGACCCACCTCCTCCTCCTCCCCCTCCTCCTCCCCCTCCTCCTGCCCCCCCCCCGGCCGATCCCAAGCCTCCAGCCCACGCACGATCTCGTTCCCGATCATGCGATCCCGACGAGGCACGTGGCGTCCTTGGAGACCTCCCATCGAAGCTGAAAGAATGCAGCTGCTGCTGCTGAAAGGCCAAATCACACCCCTTGAAGCCGTCGAGGAAATAGCGAGGGGTGGTTCTCTCCGGCAGACACAGGCCATCAACCGTCCGGCTCCCGTCGCTGTCATCGTCCGACTCGTAGTCACGGTCCCGATCGCGATCAGATCGGCTACTCTCTCCTCCTCCTCCTCCGCCTCCGCCTCCTCCTCCTCCATTAGCCGCCGCGGGTCCCAGAGGTGCAGCGGGACTCCGCACTCGCACAGTGACACGTGGTAGGGATACCTCCTTGCGCCAGCTGTCCAGACCGCAGCCGGTCCCAATATCAACGACGCCGTCGCGCTCTCGGACGCTAGAAGTCGAAGTCTGCGCCCCGATCCCGACCGCGGTCTCCTCCTCCCCCGCCCTTGCCCCTCCCGCTGCTATCGCGCCTAAGCTGTCCGCCATCTCCTCCTTCTCCTCGCTTCTCTCTACCTCCTTCTTTCCCCCTCCCCCTCCTCTTCCTCCTCTTCCTCCTTCTCCCCACCCCCCTCCTCTCTATTCGTCCTCCTCCTCCTCCTCCTCCGTCTCCTTTCTCCCACTGATTGCTGGAGTCTGCCGCTGCTCTTCCTTCCTCGGAAATAGGCGGCACCACTCTCTCTCTCTCTCTCTTCCCCTTGCCGTAGATGCCCTCCCTCTCCCTCTCTCTCCTCTCTCTCTCCCTCTCTCTCTCTCTTTCCACCTCTTCCCTCTCCTGTCTATGTTTTTGTCTTAGACAATTGCTGTCGCCGGTCCCATCTGTCCTCTCTCCTCTCCTCTGGTTGGTCAGCGCCTTCATACACCGCCCCCAACAATACGGTTTTCCCGAAAAGCCCTCTACCGGTAGGGCCTCGCTCCACTGCTCACCAAATCTGCAAAATCAGAGTGAATCTTCCCCCCAGAGCACTGAGAGATACACCTCCATCTTTGTTTGTCGTTTCTGGATGCGGCGAACAGTGGAGGCAGGCCCCTAACCTCGCCCGGCGACGGACCAGAACTGCCTGCCTGCTTGTTAAAAAAAAAAAAAAAAAAAAAAAAAAATCAAATTGAAAATTAAAAATGAGTAACAACATACTGCTGACACTTGGACTTTCGTGGATGAACTTGAGCGATATTCCGTCTCGCCCCGCATGCACTTGACCGCAATTACGTCCAGATACGAGTCGAAAAAGCTCAGTCAGGTGTGTGAGTATCCCCTGAAAGATAAGAAGTACCTGTACCTGCCTGCCTGTTGCTAGGACCACCATCAGCGCAGTCCTTCCGGACATACAGACAAGATTAGCATGCCCCCTACAAGAAGGGGGTATTGTGCAGGCCTCGAAAATAGCCTGGTACCCGCCCCTATTCGTATATTTTGGGGGTTGTTTGTGCAGCCGGGACCCTAGTGTAACTCTTGCGGCTCTATAGGTCTGGTTTTCTTTTTCTTTTTTTTTTCTTTTTTTTTTTTGAGGTCTGCCTTTTTTTTTTTTTTTTTTTTTTTTTTGGAATGAGTATTTTTTTTTTTCGAATAATAGGAAGGAGGGCGGGGACCTCACAATTCAACCTGGAAAAGATAGAACCAGCTGGAAACGGGGTCCAGCGTCCCTTGCCTACTTCCCAACCATTTATCCCTGAATTTGCTTACAGGTACCAAAAGGAAGATCCGAAACTGCTGGAAACCTGGTCCAGACTCCAGAGTCCCCTTCCTAAGCAAAAATGCTTTCCAAAAGTTGAACTTCAAGCACCAAAAAGGAGTTGCAAACCTGGAGTAATTATGAAAAAACAACTTAAATATCCTCTCAAGTCTACCATATGCATTGTAGAAAGCAAAATTATTACCTTTGATGGAAAGCCACTTTCTACTTTAAAAAATCCCTTGATAACACCAACTTTTCGGACTGATCAACTTTAAACCAGCAGTACTTGGCCCATACATCGGCCGCGGCGCGTTTCCCGTTAACGCGCCGCGACCGATGGGCTTCGGCCTACCGGACCGCAATGGCTGGAGGCGCCAGCCAAAAGAAAGTCGAAACGGTGCGGCAGCGGCTCGGCAAAACTTGGCGCGCAGGGCATATTCAGGCTCGGGATCAATAGTTGGGCCAAGCGCTGGTGGTTTAATCTTCTGTGTACGTCGTGGCCAGGTACGCAGAAACAAGAGCCGACCTTTCCCCTATCTACCTGGGCATACTTTCCGGTCCGCCACAATCATCCAATGAATTTCACTGCGGATTTGGTTTTGTTGTTGCTGTAGAGTCACCGTTTCCCCCCTAAAAACCTTGGAGTTTCTGGCTCGCCAGATGGTCTGAAGGATCACCCCTCTTCATACCAAAGCAGCATACCCCCAACCGTCCTTGTATTTCATAGTTTCCGATGGCATAGTGGCATAAGGTCTGGTTTTCCGGTTTTGAACCCTGGGCATTCTTTTGACGGTCCGACGGAGGACTGAGTTTTACCGTAGGTATTGAACCGGTGATGTACCTCCTGCAGTTCCGATAACATAGGGAGGCTCGGGTTTCTCGATATATGTCATTGGACACTCAATCTTGACGTAAGACCCCTGACGAGTCCGGTTAGGGTGACTGAACAAACATGTACAGTACCTAAGAGTTCGTCCTGGATGCTACGACATAGGCAAAATGCCTACCTGCTGATTGAACTCCATGGGCTTGTATTTTCATGACTATTTTTAAACCACCAGTACCTCGTCCAGATATGCAGTCCGAACCTCAGGGGACTGGTATGTCGAACCTGCCG